GGTCTGTGCGCGCTTGGGCGTCCGCGGGCCCCTGGAGACCGGCCCCCGGAGCGGCGCCGCGGAGGGCGGGGGCGCGCTCCTTGAGCCGAGGGGAGGTCGGTTGGACCGCGGTCGAGGGCCCACGTGTAGCTGGTCGCCCTCCCTGCGAGTCCTGCCTGGAGCCGAGCTGCCTTCCCGCGGCTGTATGTCAACATCCAACCCTTCCGCCTTGGCCGCCGGGCCGGGCCAGCTGGCAAGCGGGCCTTCTCGCTGGCTTCTCCCCCCGAAGGTGCTCTCCCCGGGCCCGGGGCTGGGCAATCACTTTTGGAGCGCCTACTGTGTGCCGGGTGGGAGGCGGTTTCGCCGGCGCCGCTTTGAAGCAGCCCCTCTCCCTGACTCGGTGCAGCGGGACTGAGCAGCCCCATTTCCCCGAAGAGCGCACTGAGGCCTCGGGAAGGCAAGCCACGTTCTTTGCTTGCGGACCACGAATTTAATTGCACTCCCAGGAAGTCGAGGCGGTGGTCCACTTCTGTTTTCCGTAGTAGTCGAAGCCACAGCTAGAAGAGCGGTGGAAGTTAAAGGAATCGGAGCGGGAGGGCGAGGAAGATTTACGAACTCGGTGGGGGGGGGGGGGAGGGAGAAACAGCTCTTCACGCGAATGTACGGGAGTCCAAGGTTGAAGTCAGCACAGGATTTTTTTTTTTTAAGCGAATCGTGGTGTAATGGAAAGCCCACAGTACTTGTCATCAGAACACTGCCACTCAGCCACTTGCTGGGTGTGCCACCTAACTGCCTCATGGGCCTCAGTTTCCTCGGCAGTTGAAGGAGGGGGTTGAAGTCGATGCTCTCCAAGGCCCCTTCCTGCATTAAGAATTCGGATTCGGTCCAGGAGCTGCTCTGCCAACTCCGCTAACTGAAGAAACATCTGTGTTCCCAATTCAGTTCCCTTAAAATAGAACTCCTGCACGGAGACTTAAGTCCCTTTGAAATAGATTTGTCCATGCAGACTGTGCAGGCCGGAGACTCCTTAGGCTGGAGTTAGAGAAAGCAGCTCCAGGCGACTTTTCTGGAGTTCGTGACTCTTTCTGCAGCAGCGTCCTACTGTGCAGTGTGTCCTCCTGCCCGTCCAGAGCAAACTTTGAGAGTGGAAGAAAGATGGCGTTTTCAGAATTGAAAAATAAGAATGGCCCCTTTCAGATAAGGAGAGACAGCTGAAGGTAAAATTGTGCTCTGTAGAAGAGAAAGGTCACTACAGTTCAGGTGGCATATTCCATTTCCACCTCTATTAATATTAATTCAACATTAAGATGCTATGTAAAGGAATTGTCACTGGGGGGCCTACCTTCCTGAAGGCAGCTGGCTTATTATCATGCACAGTGGGACAGATTAGTACTTAAAGTCTTGTTACCAAACTGTTGCATTTTTAAAGACCCTCCCTGGTCCTGGGGGAGTACTAGAAAGCACTAAACACATTGAAGCTGTTTGCTGTAAACTGGCCTGGGGCCTTTCTGTGTTTACTCAGTCTGTTTTGTTGGTGGCAGAGTAGAAGCTTTCTAGACTGCCTGTGCAGGGTCCTTCTTTCCTCCTACTTTGCGATTAAGAAAGCAGAGCTGGAACACGCTTGAAAGCCTTTGAACAATTTCCCTTCTACCCCTGGGATTTCAGAAGGCAGTCTCAAGAGATGTTGTATTCTTATTAAAGCAAAAAGAAAAGAAGTGTGAAGGAATTTACAGAAAGACACACCCATCTGCTGTAGTTTAGCCAAGGACATGATAACCCCAAGATACTCTGTTGAGCACTGAAGGTGTAAGTAAAGTGTGTGTGTGTGTGTGTGTGTGTGTGTGTGTGTGTGTGTGTGTGCGCGCGTTTCAGCTCTTTTGCCCCAACTATCCCCAGGTTCCCCCCAAACTAATATTCTATCTGTTTATTATATTTATTCACTGTTGATCTTATGTTTGAAGAAATGATTTTGTTTGTCTCAAAAAAGCAATAAGATAGCATGTATTTTAAGAGACACACAGCTACCTGTTTTAAGGGGTGTCTTGCCATTAAAACGTGACAACAAAGTCATTTTCAAAGTGACTTACTAAATTACAGTATCACTAATTAAATGCCCCTAACACCTTTAATAGAAAAAACTTTATAAGTATTTACTTGAGATATTTACGCAGGAGAATTCTATTTGGCTTCCAAAAGAAAAATTAATAGCACAACATATGATTTTAATACTTTATACACCACAGTCCTGGAAAAAAAAAGTTTTTATTTAGTTCACTTTTTGCCTAAGACTGTCAGTATGATTTAATTTTTATGTAGTTTATTGATCATATGGTCTGGATTACAGGGTACTAATATATTGAGAAAAGAGACAGTTTTCTGTTTATTCTCCCATAGGAATATATACCAAGCTTCATCTCCTAGTATCTGGAAAAAATAAAAACTGATGTGCTATGTAAGTGTTATGTAAGTGGAAATATGCAAGTAGTTGAACTTGTTTCACATACCTTTTTAGAATGCTAAATTCCTGGTGAAAAAACAAAAGTCCACTCTTGTTTGAAGGCCAAAAAAATCTGGTATCTGATAACACCAGTGGGCGTTTACCTTCCATTAGACAGCTATCTTTGCCAACAAATTGCTTTTAAATACATTTCTGAATCTTTGCATGATAGTTTGATTTTGTTTTCATTTCAAGTAAGTAATGCTTATCACCTCCTATTTTTTGTGCATTGGTTCTGGAGTATGGGTTTACATGAGAGTGACAGAGAAGATTCCCAGGCAAGAAGGAAGGACCACCTATTGTCTTTCTAAGCTCTGTTAACCTCTTTTTTGCATAAATTAATAATGTACTCTTCAACGTAACCCCGAGATTATTATCCATTTTATAAACCACAAAAACCACATCTCAGAAACAGGAAGGACAGATTCACACTGAAGTTTATTTAAATTGACCTCCGATTCTCAGTTTGACATGAGTTCCTCATTTCCCCATCCAAAGAATCCTGAAACTCAGATTCTCATCCCAGAATCCTGAAGCTCTAGTTGCAGAAAGTCCCGCCTCTCCACATTTCCCAGTTACCCATTCTCACCAGAGCAGATAAAGGTGAGAGTCCAAGTGATACAGAATTTAGGTGGTCAGCAACCATGTTATTTAATTTGGTTGTTTTTGGATGTTTTTTGGTTTGCAATTAAATGATTGGGATAAAACTCTAGGACTGGTTCTATATATGGGATACATAGAGTAATCATATATATATATATATCTTTATATACTTATATAGATCTAGATATAGATATTTTTTTGAGTTGGAGTCTCACTCTTGTCGCCCTGACGAGTGCAGTGGCAGGCTCATACCTTCTGGGCTTGGGCGATCCTTCTACCTCAGCCTTACAAGTAGCTGGAACTACAGACCCATGCCACCACACCTGGCTAGTTTTTGTGACTTATTATAGAGACCAAATTACCCAGGCTGGTCTCGAACCCTCTAGGTCAGGCAATCCTCTCGTCTCAGCCTCCCAAAGGGCTGGGATTACAGGCTGAGCCACCACACCCAGCCCATCATATATTGTTATTATTAAACTATTTACTTTTAACAGAGAGGGGGTCAATGTGGTATAATGAATGCAGAGACTTAGAGTCGGAAGCTTAGGGCTCCAGGTTTGCCAATGCTACTCTGTAGTTGTGTGGAGGTGGACAAGTTGGTTTTCTGTGGGTCTCCGTTTTTGTCTAATGTCAACATTAAACATGCTGTGACTGATTTCTAATTGCAAGGACTTTCACTTCCGTTGATTGTCTTATGCGTCCATTCCGCTGAGTTCTTCATTGGACATCAATTCTGGGAATCATCACATAACCTGGGAGTCTAGAGACAGGGCTCTCATCTTGTAGGCTGCCATTGTGTTGCGCAACTTGGGAAAAATTCACCTGACTTTTCTGGGCCTCAGTTTCTTTAACCATTGTAATTTACTGAAGGGAAGGGACTAGATCACCTCTCAGATGCCTTCTAGTTCTAACAATTTTATGAGTCTAAGCTGGTAGGTATTGTGATGTGGAAACCTAGTCACTCTCTTGGACCATTTATCATGAATCGAACTGTTGTGTGTTTGACCAGAGAATCAGTGCTGAAAATTCGTTTTAGCTGGGGTTAATTCTGGCGAAATGGCAAGCACTGCTTTTACTAGAGTTAATCCAAGATGCTGAGAAACTGACTAGATCTTTCCTTGGCCGGATGTGTTCTTTTGCCTGCTCCCTGAAATGTACTGTAATCATAAACAGACATGTAAACAAGTGTAACAGGTGACTTTTCCTCTTTTTTTTTTTGCACAGTTATGATAGTCACTAAGTGTGTGTTTTTAAAAACTCAATCAGTTCTGATAATTTACTATTTGAGCTACATAATACAGAAACATATTTTCATGAGTCAACTGGTGAACTGCCTAGCCGAGTGTCCTACATGGATTGCATAAAGAAGGGAACCTCCATTTAGTGTTGACTTTTCTAGGATGGTTGAAAACTTCTGTTTTCCTCATTGTCCAAATAGATAACTTTTTTGGTCTTAACTCTTTCTCTTTCTTTTTAAACTCTCTCTTATATTTAAGTGATCTACCATGGGGATAGCTACCTTTGTGGGAGACTACTAAAGCCAGAGTTGGTAGCCCTTTCTACTTTTAGCCCTTGTGATTACCTCTCAATTTTAGAATCATCCTGTACTCCTTCCTGTGCAGTTGTTTGGGCTGGCAAGTCCAGTTGGTCACAGCATGATGCTAATGAGGCCGTGTCCAGGGCTTCTTCCCTGTGTAGGCAGTTGTATTTATGGGGAAACCCTACCCCGTGTGTCAGTTCAATTCAGTACACATTATTTGAGGAGTCAGTTTATTGGGGGATGCCTGCGATGTCAATATTTCATAAACTCACCTAATAAGGGACCCACCTGGTGTGAAATACAGACTCTCAGACTCCTTCCCAGACTATTCAGATTCAATAGGCTTTGGGCCAAGGCCTAGGATTCAGTATTTTACAAAAGCTGCAGCTGATTCTTATCAGGCCAATTTTGGGATAACTACGCTGCTGTCTTCAGGGCAACTGAATTACCTAGTGGGCTTTTTGTCCCTGCACTGCTTGTTCTGGTAGTCTCTGCATTGTTAGGTTATCTGCACTTTGTTTGTTTATGGCTAATGCACCTGCCTTTGTCAGTAAAGATAATTAAGCTTGCTAGCATTCTTTCAAAAAGAAAAAATTGCCCCTGGGCTCAGGCCTGAAGCTGTCATGTTACTTACAGTACAAGTACTTGGTATTGTCTCTGACTGCTGGGAGGCTCTGGTTCTCTGCTGAGTTCTAAGCAGTTGAAGTTGCCAGCAAGTGACCAATTTGGATAAGTGAGTTGCTATTATTTTGAAATACTAAAGTTTGTGCATGATTAAAAGGTGA